CACAATAGTATGGGCACCTAAGTATCATGATAATATTGTATTGTGAGGTCCCTGGCAAAATCCCAGCCCTAGACAGAGCTACGACTGGGAGGGTGGGAATGGATTCCTTTTGAGTGCCATGGACAATTCACAACAATACACACATCTAAAAGTAAAATAATGGAATTAAGAAATGTTTAAATATTGGGACGAGCAATGTCGGAGTGGCATTGACTAAAATACAGTAGAAAACAGTATGTAAACATTATTAAAGTGACTAGTGTTCCATTATTAAAGTGACCAGTGATTCCATGTCTATGTACATAGGGCAGCAGCCTCTAAGGTGCAGGTTGAGTAACCGGGTGGTAGCCGGCTAGTGATGGCTATTTAACAGTCTGATGGCCTTGAGATAGAAGCTGTTTTTCATTCTCTCGGTCCCAGCTTTGATGCACCTGTACTGACCTCGCCTTCTGGATGATAGCGGGGTGAACAGGCCGTGGCTTGGGTGGTTGATGTCCTTGATGATCTTTTTGGCCTTCCTGTGACATCGGGTGCTGTAGGTGTCCTGGAGGGCAGGCAGTGTGCCTCCGGTGAGGCGTTGGGCAGACCACACCACCCTCTGGAGAGCCCTGCGGTTGCGGGCGGTGCAGTTGCCGTATCAGGCGGTGATACAGCCCGACAGGATGCTCTCAATTGTGCATCTGTAAAAGTTTGTGAGGGTCTTGGGAGCCAAGCCGAATTTCTTCAGCTCTGTCTCTGTGTCTCTTTCTCTCTGTCTGTGTCTCTGTCTCTCTCTTTGTGTCTCTCTCTGTGTCTCGCTCTCTGTCCCTCTCTGTCTCTGTGTGTCTCTCGCTCTGTTTCTGTCTCTCTCTCTGTGTCTCCCTCTCTCTCTCCTGTCTGTCTCTCTCACTCTGTTTCTGTGTCTCTCTCGGTTTGTCTGTCTGTCTGTGTCTCTCTCCCTGACCCTGTCTATCTCTGTCACTTTGTCTGTCTCTGTCACTCTCTGTTTGTCTGTCACTCATGTCTCTCTCTCTCTGTCTCTGTCTCTCTCTGTCTGTGTCTATACTTGTCTCTCTCTCTCTCTCTCTCTCTGTCGGTCTGTCTTTCTGTCTTTATCTCTGTCTCGGTCTCTCTCCTGTCTCTCTCTCGCTCTCTCCTGTGTCTGTATCTCTCTTTCTCTTTGTCTCTCTTTGTGTCTCTCTCTCTCTCTGTGTGTCTTTCTCTCTTTGTCTCTCCTACTCGACCAACTCTCCTTTTCCCTCTTTCTCCTCTGTCTCTCTCTCTTTCTCTTTCTCTCTCCTACTCGACCACCTCTTCCTCTATCTCCTCTCTCTCTCTGTCCTCTTTCCTGGTCTTCCTCTATGTAGGCCTACGTTAGGCTATCTACAGTTGAAGTCGGAAGTTTACATACACTTAGGTTGGAGTCATTTAAAACTCGTTTTTCAACCACTCCACAAATGTCCTGTTAACTAACTATAGTTTTGGCAAGTCGGTTAGGACATCTACTTTGTGCATGACACAAGTCATTTTTCCAACAATTGTTTACAGACAGATTATTTCACTTATAATTCACTGTATCACAATTCCAGTGGGTCAGAAGTTAACATACACTAAGTTGAATGTGCCTTTAAACAGCTTGGAAAATTCCAGAAAATGATGTCATGGCTTTAGAAGCTTCTGATAGGCTAATTGACATCATTTGAGTCAATTGGAGGTGTACCTGTGGATGTATTTCAAGGCCTACCTTCAAACTCAGTGCCTTTGCTTGACATCATGGGGAAATCAGCCAAGACCTCAGAAAAAAAAATGTGTAGACCTCCACAAGTCTGGTTCATCCTTGGGAGCAATTTCCAAACGCCTGAAGGTACCACGTTCATCTGTACAAACAATAGTACGCAAGTATAAACACCATGGGACCACGCAGCCGTCATACCGCTCAGGAAGGAGATGCTTTGTCTCCTAGAGATGAACGTACTTTGGTCCGAAAAGTGCAAATCAATCCCAGAACAACAGCAAAGGACCTTGTGAAGATGCTGGAGGAAACAGGTACAAAAGTATCTATATCCACATAACCTGAAAGGCCGCTCAGCAAGGAAGAAGCCGCTGCTCCAAAACCGCCATAAAAAAGCCAGACTACGGTTTGCAACTGCACATGGGGACAAAGATCGTACTTTTTGGAGAAATGTCCTCTGGTCTGATGAAACAAAAATAGAACTGTTTGGCCATAATGACCATCGTTATGTTTGGAGAAAAAAGGGGTAGGCTTGCAAGCCGAAGAACACCATCCCAACCGTGAAGCACGGGGGTGGCAGCATCATGCTGTGGGGTGCTTTGCTGCAGGAGGGACTTCACAAAATAGATGGCATCATGAGGAAGGAAAATTGTGGATATATTGAAGCAACATCTCAAGACATCAGTCAGGAAGTTAAAACTTGGTCACAAATGGGTCTTCCAAATGAACAATGACCCCAAGCATACTTCCAAAGATGTGGCAAAATGGCTTAAGGACAACAAAGTCAAGGTATTGGAGTGGCCATCACAAAGCCCTGACCTCAATCCTATAGAACTTTTGTGGGTAGAACTGAAAAAGTGTGTGCGAGCAAGGAGGCCTACAATCCTGACTCAGTTACACCAGCTCTGTTAGGAGGAATGGGCCAAAATTCACCCAACTTGTGGAAGGCTACCTGAAACGTTTGACCCAAGTTAAACAATTTAAAGGCAATGCTACCAAATACTAATTGAGTGTATGTAAACTTCTGACCCACTGGGAATGTGATGAAATAAATAAAAGCTGAAATAAATAATTCTCTCTACTATTATTCTGACATTTCACATTCTTAAAATAAAGTGGTGATCCCAACTGAATTCTTACCAGGATTAAATGTCTGGAATTGTGAAAAACTGAGTTTAAATGTATTTGGCTAAGGTGTATGTAAACTTCTGACTTCAACTGTATGTCACTCTCTCCACTAGTCTGTAAGTGGGTGAGCTAAAGGATACAGGATTTATCGTTACAACCTGATACTAGCTGTCGGACTCATGTGACTGGTAGTCAGGTGACTAAACATTGCAGCTGCTATGTGGGTTTGTGTGTGTTGTGGTGCTCATCACTCATTGCTGTTCTTTGACATTTTTAGTTTTCATCCTCAACTCTCTGTTTGGTTTAAACTGTTTTGTATTTCTCCATATGCCTGCCATGTGGACACTGTTTTGTCTGACAGTGCATGTTCTGGCAATGAGTACATTCAGCGGACACACGCAGCCACACACACACACAGCCATATAACCCTTCTGTGAGAGGGCTAGTCTCTCTCAAGTAGGGAACTCCACCTAACCTCCACTCCTTTCACCGGTCGAGTCCACAGTCCCATAGAGGTGTCTGTCTGTGAGTTGGTGTGTCTCTGTAAATGAACTTCCTCACCAGGCCTGAAGTGTTTCCCCCTTGCTCAGTTCTCTGAATACTGTGTGGGTTACGAAACGTCGCCAGAGCAAAAACAATCGCTCCTTTATATTAGGAGAATGCGAGGCCGAATCTAACGTTTTTTTGTCAACTCAACTCTCTTGTTTGCTTTCACCTCTAGCACAGATTAGACCCACATGTATTTCTCAGAGTCAGAGGAGATTTTTAAAACCTAATTGAAAGGTTTTTCAGAGGCCTCTGGGGAAAAAAAAGAATTACCCCATTAGGCTAGTATCTTTCTGTCCTTTTCCATCAGTGGACATACCTGTGTTTACTGCACTCACACACAGACAGACAGACAGACAGACAGACAGACAGACAGACAGACAGACAGACAGACAGACAGACAGACAGACAGACAGACAGACAGACAGACAGACAGACAGACAGACAGACAGACAGACAGACAGACAGACAGACAGACAGACAAGACAAGACAAGACAAGACACACACTTAATTAAAAACATGTATAAACCAGTTTGACCAACATAGTAAGACGCAAACTTGTTGAAACATATATCTTACTCCTTGTTTCAATATCAGACAGACCATGTTGTAAAGTAACCCCCTCTGTAACAAGTATCAGTTGAAATCTAACTGACCTTAGTCATAATGTGTGCGTAGGCATCGTGACACACCTTTGTGTATCTATTACAGAGGTGTTACAGGTTTGAGTCAGTGGTTTTGGTGAAGAACAGAGGGAGGGTGTGTGTGTGTGTGTGTGTGTGTGTGCCTTTATCCACCTCTATTAACATCAAAATGGCATGTTGTTTAGATATTAATGCAACGTTTGAATTGTGGTGTGGGGCCATTGAAAATTGTTATGTTTGTAAGGTAGGGTCTCATGCTTTTACTGCACTCTCAAAGAATGACAGTGTTATTTTGACATCTGGGCTGATCGTTCTCTCTCCCAGTCAGTCATTGTAGCCTAGCTGCCTCTTTGTGGTGGAGGTTTGAGGAGAATGGGGCTAGACTGCTGGCCTCAGCACTTTAAGCGAAGCGTGTATTGATCCCTCCACATTAGCCTCTTCTCATGCCTCGCTCCGCCACCACCACCACCTAGAATACAATCACTTCCCTTTACAGCTTGGCCCTGCTGCCACGGCAACCACTGCAGATCAGGAGATAGGCTTCTGGTATAAGGTCTCTCTGTCTCCTCTTCTGTTGTACATCTCCATGACCTGGTTTGTTTTTATAATGCATCAAATTTAAGAAAGCGCACTGAAACAGTGACAGACTACATGGACTCCAATAAGAACCATTTGTTTTGGGGTTTTTTTCATTGGGAAAATTTTAAAACGTTTTGCTAATGAACATAACCCTGAGCTGGTGTAATCTGTCACCTCTACCCACTATTGCCATCCTTCTGTACACATCTATAGAGAACTGCCCGAAGAGACGTCAGTGATTAAGTCACCACTAACCTAATGCCTCCATATGTTCTTTTGTAGCATTGGAAGGATAAAAGAGAGCAGTTTGCAAAGGCAAAATTGCCTAATATGTGCTTCGGCACTTGTCGTCTTTTGTCTGTCTGTTACCACAATCATATCATGAATTTGAATGGAGGGCAGGGGCTGGCCCGACGGAGAGGCGGGTTGTTTTAACTTGCAGATGAGCCGATGGGCACCACCCGGGCTGGTGCTGCTCCGGTAGCGATTTGCTTAGCATTGCGCTAACAGTCAACAGGCTAATCTCTCTCATTAGCTCTCTCTCTCCACCGCTCCACTCACAAACACAAGTGGCCCATTAACCAGCTAGAGCATCCCTCGCTCTCCTTGCCGCCTCCCGCTTTGATGCCTTTTTGATAAGAGCAAGGATAATGAGGATAATCATAACATCGATGATAATTCACTATCCAGCGCAGCGGCAACACGCTAATCGCCTAAAAGCACTTCCTGTGTACTCCTCAGATGGATGCTCTTCGGACGTTCTTTTTTTAAATTATTTTTTTTACACACACACACTCCGTTGATATTTAAATGTGCGTGGCTGGTGGAGGAGTGTGTGTGATCTAAAGGATGCTGGTGCTCTCTAGCACCCCTGGTCCGGTGGTGGTGCAGCAGTCTACACACAATACTACATAATGACAAAGTAAAAACAGGTTTTTAGACATTTTTGCAAATGTATTACAAATAAAAAATGGAAATATCACATTTACATAAGTATTCAGACCCTTTACTCAGTACTTTGTTGAAGCACCTTGTCACGGTTTCGGCCGAGGCTGCTCCTCCTCCTGGTTCGGGCAGGCTTCGGCGGTCGTCGTCCCCGGAGTACTAGCTGCCACCGATCTATGTTTCATGTTCGTTTGGTTTGGTCTTAATGTTGTACACCTGTGTCTAGTTAGTCCTCGTTAGTGTTCTATTTAGTTCTCGTTGTGTGTGTCTGTGTTTGTGTGTGATTGCGCTTCTGTTACGTGTTGGAGCTACTATTTCCCTCCAGTGTTTTGGAGTGGTTACTTTGCACATGTTTTGTGCGCCGTTTATTTAGTCGCCTGTGTGCGCCTAGTATTCGCCTTCAGGCTTTTGTGCTTTTGTTTTGTGTGAATTTTGCACTAAAGCCTTTGGACTGAGCCTCTGCGTCCTGCGCTTGATTCATACACCACACCCACCTTCAGCACCTTATGACAGAATCACACACCATAATGGAATCAGCAGGATCGGCAGAGACGCCTGTATCGCTGGGGGAGCGTCTAGTCCATTTGAGACAGGGGAGGAGGAGCGCGCAGGCGTTCGCTCTAGAGTACCGGACTCTAGCGGCGGATGCAGGGTGGAATGAGCGGGCTCTCATCGACCATTTTCGATGTAGCCTACGAGAGGACGTTCAACGTGAGTTGGCCTGCAGGGATACCCATCTTACCTTCGACCAGTTGGTCGATATGTCCATCCGTCTGGACACCCTGCTGGCCACCCATGGATGTCCTGAGGGGAGTCCGTCCATTCCGCCCTCCGGCGCCTCCGAGCCGAGCCCTATGGAGCTCGGGGGTGCCGGCGCTAGAGAACGGAGTAGGAGGAGCCCGAGGGGGCCTGTCTCCTGCACCAAGTGCGGTCGTGGAGGGCACACTGCGGCCAGGTGCTGGGGAGGGTTCTCCGGGGGAGAAGACAACAGGCCACGCACTGGGGGGGCCTCCCAGGTGAGTAGACGTCCCACTTACCCAGAGCTTTCTGTTGCGCACTTTTGTATACCTGTTTGTTTTCCACAGGTTGCACCTCATTCCCAGCATAAGGCGCTCGTAGATTCAGGCGCAGCTGGGAATTTTGTTGATCGGAAGTTTTGTTTTGAGTTAGGGATCCCTCTCCTACCTGTTGACAAACCTTTTCCCGTTCATGCCTTAGATAGCCGCCCGTTGGGGTCGGGGTTGATCAGGGAGATCACAGCGCCACTTCGGATGTGTGCGCAGGGGGGTCATGAGGAGACTATACAGCTGTATCTGATCGACTCTCCTGCGTACCCAGTGGTGCTGGGGATTCCCTGGTTAAGCACCCACAACCCTGCTATTTCGTGGCAACAGAGGGCTCTCGATGGGTGGTCTGCTCAGTGCGAGGGGCGATGTCTGGGTGTTTCCGTGGGGGCGACTTCGGTGGAGAGTCCAAACCAAGTGCCCGCACTGCACATTCCGCCTGAATATGGGGATTTAGCTCTCGTGTTTAGCAAAGATAGGGCGACGCAGTTGCCTCTTCATAGACAGGGGGATTGTGCGATTGATCTCCAGGCAGGAGCAGCACTCCCACGGAGCCATGTGTATCCTTTGTCTCAAGAGGAGAGAAAAGCTAAGGAGACTTACATAGCCGAATCTTTGAGACAGGGATACATTCGGCCCTCCACTTCTCCCGCCTCCTCTAGCTTCTTTTTTGTGAAAAAGAAAGATGGAGGGTTGCGCCCGTGCATTGATTACCGTGGTCTCAATCAGATTACTGTGAAATACAGTTATCCACTCCCTCTGATTGCGACCATGACGGAGTCATTGCATGGAGCGCGGTTTTTCACAAAACTGGATCTCAGGAGCGCGTATAGCTTGGTGCGCATTAGGGAGGGTGACGAATGGAAGACAGCGTTTAGTACCACGTCAGGTCATTTCGAATATCTCGTCATGCCATATGGGTTGATGAATGCTCCATCAGTCTTCCAATCCTTCGTTGATGACATTTTCCGGGATATGCAGGGACAAGGGGTGGTTGTGTACATTGATGACATTCTGGTGTACTCGTCTACCCGAGCCGAGCATATAACCCTGGTGCGTCGTGTGTTGAGGCTGGTATAGGGGCCGTTCTCTCTCAAGGGTCCGGCACGCCACCTAAACTCCGCCCCTGTGCTTTTTACTCTAAGAAGCTCAGCCCGGCGGAGCGTAACTATGACGTTGGGGACAGGGAGCTGTTAGCTGTAGTTCAAGCCCTTAAGGTGTGGAGGCATTGGCTTGAGGGGGCTCAACACCCTTTCCTCATTTTGACTGACCATCGGAACCTGGAGTACATCCGGGCAGCGAGGAGACTGAACCCTCGCCAGGCTCGATGGAGTATGTTTCTCACCAGGTTCGTATTTAAAATCACGTACATCCCTGGGTCCCAGAATGGTAAGGCAGATGCGCTGTCCCGGCGGTATGACACGGAGGAGAGGTCAGTTGAGCCCACTCCCATACTACCGGAGTCTTTCCTTGTGGCACCGGTGGTGTGGGAGGTCGATGCCGAAATCGAGCGAGCGTTGCGTACCGACCCCAGCCCTCCACAGTGTCCTGAGGGTCGGAAGTACGTTCCGCTCGAGATTCGGGATCGACTCATTTACTGGGCTCACACGTCACCCTCCTCTGGACATTCGGGTATCGGCCGGACAGTGCATTGCCTTAGCACTAAATACTGGTGGCCCACTTTGGCTAGGGATGTGAGGGTTTATGTCTCCTCCTGCTCGGTGTGCGCCCAGTGTAAGGCGCCCTGACATCTGCCCAGGGGTAAGTTACAGCCCCTACCCGTTCCACAACGACCATGGTCCCACCTCTCGGTGGATTTTGTAACAGACCTTCCCCTCTCTCAGGGGAATACCACCATCCTGGTCGTTGTGGACCGGTTCTCTAAGGCCTGTCGTCTTCTCCCTATGTTGGGTCTTCCTACTGCCCTACAGACTGCTGAGGCCCTATTTACCCACGTCTTCCGGCATTACGGGGTCCCCGAGGATATAGTGTCTGATCGAGGCCCCCAGTTTACCTCCCGGGTGTGGAGAGCGTTTATGGAGCGTTTGGGGGTCTCGGTTAGCCTTACCTCGGGGTACCACCCGGAGAGTAACGGGCAGGTAGAACGTGTCAACCAGGATGTGGGTAGGTTTCTGAGGTCGTATTGCCAGGACCGGCCTGAGGAGTGGGCGCGTTACATTCCCTGGGCCGAGATGGCCCAGAATTCTCTCCGCCACTCCTCTACCAACCTAACCCCTTTCCAATGTGTATTAGGTTACCAGCCGGTTCTGGCACCGTGGCAGCAGAGCCAGATCGAGGCCCCTGCGGTGGATGATTGGATGAGGCGCTTGGAAGAGACGTGGAACGCTGCCCACGTCCACCTACAGCGGGCCGTCCGCCGTCACAAGGCGAGCGCCGATCTCCACCGCAGTGAGGGGCCGGTGTACGCACCCGGAGATCGAGTCTGGCTCTCTACCAGAAACCTACCCCTCCGCCTGCCCTGCCGGAAGCTGGGTCGGCGGTTTGTGGGGCCCTTTAAAGTCCTGAGAAGATTGAACGAGGTGTGTTATAAGTTACATCTACCTGTTGAATATAAGAATATTAACCCCTCGTTCCATGTGTCTCTTCTCAGGCCGGTGGTAGCTGGTCCACTCCAGGACAATGAGATAGGAGAGACTCCTCCGCCCCCATTGGACATCGAGGGGGCTCCGGCGTACACCGTTCGGTCCATCTTGGACTCCAGACGCCGGATGGGGGGTCTCCAGTATCTCGTGGAGTGGGAGGGGTACGGCCCGGAGGAGCGGTGCTGGGTGCCGCGGAGGGACATCCTAGACCCATCTCTCCTGTCGGAGTTCCACCGGGACCATCCCGCGCGCCCTGCTCCGCGTCCTCCTGGTCGTCCCCGAGGCCGGGGTCGGCGCACGGCTGGAGCCGCGCGTCAAGGGGGGGGTACTGTCACGGTTTCGGCCGAGGCTGCTCCTCCTCCTGGTTCGGGCAGGCTTCGGCGGTCGTCGTCCCCGGAGTACTAGCTGCCACCGATCTATGTTTCATGTTCGTTTGGTTTGGTCTTAATGTTGTACACCTGTGTCTAGTTAGTCCTCGTTAGTGTTCTATTTAGTTCTCGTTGTGTGTGTCTGTGTTTGTGTGTGATTGCGCTTCTGTTACGTGTTGGAGCTACTATTTCCCTCCAGTGTTTTGGAGTGGTTACTTTGCACATGTTTTGTGCGCCGTTTATTTCGTCGCCTGTGTGCGCCTAGTATTCGCCTTCAGGCTTTTGTGCTTTTGTTTTGTGTGAATTTTGCACTAAAGCCTTTGGACTGAGCCTCTGCGTCCTGCGCTTGATTCATACACCACACCCACCTTCAGCACCTTATGACACACCTTTGGCAGCGATTACAGCTTCGAGGCTTCTTGGGTGTGACGCTACAAGCTTGGCACACCTGTATTTGGGGAGTTTCTCCCATTCTTCTCGGCAGATCCTCTCCAGCTCTGTCAGGTTGGATGGGGATCGTTGCTACACAGCTATTTTCAGGTCTCTCCAGAGATATTCGATTGGGTTCAAGTCCGGGTTCTGGTTGGGCCACTCAAGGACATTCAGAGACTTGTCCCGAAGCCACTCCTGCGTTGTCTTGGCTGTGTGCTTAGGGTTGTTGTCCTGTTGGAAGGTGAACCTTCACCCCAGTCTGAGGTCCTGAGCGCTCTGGAGCAGGTTTTCATCAATGCTCTCTTTACTTTGCTCCGTTCATCTTTCCCTCAATCCTGACTAGTCTCCCAGTCCCTGCCGCTGAAAAACCTCTCCACAGCATGATGCGGCCACCACCATGCTTCACCGTAGGGATTGTGCCAGGTTTCCTCCAGACATGACACTTGCATTCAGGCCAAAGAGTTCAATCTTGGTTTCATCAGACCAGAGAATCTTGTTTCTCATGGTCTGAGAGTCCTTTAGGTGCCTTTTGGTAAACTCCAAGCGGGCTGTCATGTGCCTTTTTACTGAGGAGTGGCTTCTGTCTGGCCACTCTACCATAAAGGCCTGATTGGTGGAGTGCTGCAGAGATGGTTGTCCTTCATGAAGGTCGGCCCATCTCCACAGAGGAAAGAGGAACTCTGGAGCGCTATCAAAGTGACCATCAGGTTCTTGTCACCTCCCTGACCAAGGCCCTTCTCCCCCGATTGCTCAGTTTGGTCGGGCGGCCAGCTCTAGAAAGAGTCTTGGTGGTTCCAAACTTCTTCCATTTAAGAATGATGGAGGCCACTGTGTTGTTGGGGACCTTCAATGCTGCAGACATTTTTTGGTACCCTTCCCCAGATCTGTGCCTCGAAACAATCCTTTCTCTGAGCTCTACGGACAATTCCTTCGACCTCATGGCTTGCTTTTTGCTGTGACATGCACTGTCAACTGTGGGACCTTAAATAGACAGGTGTGTGCCTTTCCAAATCATGTCCAATCAATTGAATTTACCACAGGTGGACTCCAATCAAGTTGTGGAAACCTCTCAAGGATGATCAATGGAAACAGGATGGATCTGAGCTCAATGTCGAGTCTCATAGCAAAGGGTCTGAATACTTATGGAAATAATATTATTTGTTTTATTTTTATTTTAGCAAAAATGTCTAAAACCCTGTTTTCGCTTTGTCATTATGGGGTATTGTGTGTAGATTGATGAGTGGAAAAATGATTTTATCCATTTTAGAATAAGGCTGTAACGTAACAAAATGTGGTGAAAAGTCAAGGGGTCTGAATACTTTCCGAATACACTGTCTATGCCTCAGCAGCCAGCTATAAGTTTACTGTAAGTGTAATATATAAGCTATGTGTGTTGGTCAGAGAGGGAAGGGAGGAAGGGAAGGTACCTGGTTGCCTGCAGTAGGACACACACTGTTTCTACACCAAACATTACCTCTCCGCCACACCTGTTTGAACACAATCTAGCCTACACACAAAAGCTTTCTTTGCCACACCTAACGTGTGCTTGAAGAAAGAGCCCGTGTAGGGTGGCACACCTGTATTTGGTTAGGAGTTGGACCAGTAACCGAAACGTTGCTAGTTCGAATCCCAGAGGCGACCAAGGTGAAAAATCTGTCTGTGCCCTTGAGGTCTTAACCGTAATTGCTCCTGGGTCGTCGTTGATCATGGCTGACCCTGACCGTGACCCCACTCTCCGGTGGAGTCTCGGGAGTTGGGATATAAAAAAAATAACATTTACAATTCACACATGCGTATGTACATGTATTGTATTGTATTGTATTATATAACTAGAATTAGAATAATCATTCTATTTCCATGATTCCAACAGTTCACCCAAGTGTTTTGCTCTAAATCACAAGTCAAATTGCAATTGCAACATTTGGTAAAATAAGGCCTAGATATTGTGCAGCCCTACGTGGCAGTGTGGAAATGATCTCAAATGAGTGCAGGAAATGCAGAAATTGATGAAAATACAGAAAAAACATTGTGATTAAGTTTAATTTAATAGTATAAAACATTCAGAATGGAGAAAGACTCATTGAAATCACTTAAAATGTATGTGTTGCCACCCTAGGGTCACACACTACTCATAAAGCAAATGTAGAAGTTTTTATTATTCAAAAACATAAAATACCGTCAAATACCGCTAAAAAAATTTTTCATACTGTGTGATGATATTTTGGCCATATTGCCCAGCACTATGTACATGTGTGAAATAGGACAAATATAAGAACCCACCAAATTATTATTATTATTATGATGTGATGCCAATGTCTCATATGCACTTAAAAAACAGACAAACACGCACCTACACAGTGGTTATTGAGCTTGGGCACCTACACAGTGGTTATTGAGCTTGGGCACCTACACAGTGGTTATTGAGCTTGGGCACCTACACAGTGGTTATTGAGCTTGGGCACCTACACAGTGGTTATTGAGCTTGGGCACCTACACAGTGGTTATTGAGCTTGGGCACCTACACAGTGGTTATTGAGCTTGGGCACCTACACAGTGGTTATTGAGCTTGGGCACCTACACAGTGGTTATTGAGCTTGGGCACCTACACAGTGGTTATTGAGCTTGGGCACCTACACAGTGGTTATTGAGCTTGGGCACCTACACAGTGGTTATTGAGCTTGGGCACCTACACAGTGGTTATTGAGCTTGGGCACCTACACAGTGGTTATTGAGCTTGGGCACCTACACAGTGGTTATTGAGCTTGGGCACCTACACAGTGGTTATTGAGCTTGGGCACCTACACAGTGGTTATTGAGCTTGGGCACCTACACAGTGGTTATTGAGCTTGGGCACCTACACAGTGGTTATTGAGCTTGGGCACCTACACAGTGGTTATTGAGCTTGGGCACCTACACAGTGGTTATTGAGCTTGGGCACCTACACAGTGGTTATTGAGCTTGGGCACCTACACAGTGGTTATTGAGCTTGGGCACCTACACAGTGGTTATTGAGGCACCTACACAGTGGTTATTGAGGCACCTACACAGTGGTTATTGAGGCACCTACACAGTGGTTATTGAGGCACCTACACAGTGGTTATTGAGGCACCTACACAGTGGTTATTGAGGCACCTACACAGTGGTTATTGAGGCACCTACACAGTGGTTATTGAGGCACCTACACAGTGGTTATTGAGGCACCTACACAGTGGTTATTGAGGCACCTACACAGTGGTTATTGAGCTTGGGCACCTACACAGTGGTTATTGAGCTTGGGCACCTACACAGTGGTTATTGAGGCACCTACACAGTGGTTATTGAGCTTGGGCACCTACACAGTGGTTATTGAGCTTGGGCACCTACACAGTGGTTATTGAGCTTGGGCACCTACACAGTGGTTATTGAGCTTGGATCAAAATTATAGGCTAGTTGTAGACGAATATAACAAGTGACATAAATGGAGACAACAACTGTGATTGGTTCCTACAAGCCCTATACAATACATATCAGCAGAAGAGAGGCTAGAGCAGGTTGCACTCTAGTCTAAAGTGCTGCCTGTTACTACAGGTATGTTTATGTTGTATTAAAGATGCAGTCCAGGATCTTAAGCACTTACAGATTCTTAACATATTGTCCGAATTTGTAGAAAGAAAAAATTGGGGAACCAGTTTTCGGGAACCCGTTTTGGCTCGTGAGCACTACTTTGAAAACTACTGGCTGAAATGATACAAACGTTTTGGTGCAGCACCACTCCTGTCTTCTCCAGAGGCTACAGAGCTGTCTGTCTGGCTTGATTTATTCCTCTCATTCAGACCAGACAGAGCAGGAGTGGCACCCAGCCTCCCATGTGGAAATACGGGGGATGTATTTGTGTTGTGGTTCTGTACATGGAGCTCTTTCTCTTTAACACAAAAGGGCAGTTCTCTCGCTGTCTGACATGTCTGATTGCTCTACTTTACCCTGAGTTATGATTCATCTTCATCCTCAGCTAGCCTGCTACTGGAGATCTGACTTATTTATTAATTTACTGTTTCCATGGCTCTTTACTGCTTGTTTTTCCCTCTCTTTCCTACTACCCTCTCTCTCTTTTCTACTACCCTCTCTCTTTTCTACTACCCTCTGTCTCTTTTCTACTACCCTCTCTCGCTCTCTTTCATACTACCCTCTCTCTCTTTTCTACTACCCTCTCTCTTTTCTACTACCCTCTCTCTTTTCTACTACCCTCTCTCTTTTCTACTACCCTCTCTCTCTTTTCTACTACCCTCTCTCTCTCTTTTCTACTACCCTCTCTCTCTCTTTTCTACTACCCTCTCGCTCTCTCTTTTCTACTACCCTCTCTCTCTCTTTTCTACTACCCTCTCTGTCTCTTCTGTCTCGAAACGTTGCTAGTTCGAATCCCCGAGCCGACCAAGGTGAAAAATCTGTCTGTGCCCTTGAGGTCTTAACCTCTGTCTCTTTTCTACTACCCTCTCTCTCTTTTCTACTACCCTCTCTCTCTTTTCTACTACCCTCGCTCTCTTTCCTACTACCCTCTGTCTGTCTCTATCATTGTAAAAAGGACTCTCTTGATGTTAGGCTATATGCACTCATTATCTCCTTTCTTCCTGTCTGCCATTGTCTCTACTATCTGTTCTCATAGATCCTTGCCCTCGCCACTCCTTCAGGTGTTGTGTGTTCTCTTTGAACATGGCAGTGTCCTTAGGCCCTCGCCCTTCTCCTCCTCGGGGTGGGTTACTCTAAACCCTGACAGTGAGTACCCAACCCCAGACCTAGAGATGAGATGAGTGGCTGGGGATTTCCTGGTGTACATCACATCCCTGACCTCTTTTCTGCTCCTAGCATCCCTCCATCCCCATCGCTACGCTCCCTCCTCTCTTCTCTTTCACTCTATGCCCTCCCTCTCCCGTCTCCCCCTCTTTCTCCTGCTTTCTCTCAGTCCAGAGCAGAGCTTGACCCAATTCCTCTTTAACAACAACAACAGCGAAAGGATGGGCCCCAGCCGCCCTCCACCCCTCTGTCTCTCAGTGTCCCTCAACCCCCACCCCAAGCATCAGCCTCGGCCCAGATATAACCCAGACCACCCGAGCCCAGCACCACTCTAGTCACAACCCACCCCATCCCCAGCCTCAGCCCCACCTCAAGCCCAAGCAGCATCACCCCAGCACCACCTCAGCCACAACCTGCCTAGACTGGGACGATTGGTGGTGCCCCACAGACTGTAAGGTTGCCAAAAGCCGAATGCTGATTTGGTTGTTGGTTACAGTTGACAGACACGGCCCAGCCTAGATGGATAACTTATTTTCCCATTTACTCTCTTTCTCTCTCTTTCTCTTGTTGGGAGGATTTCTGCTCTTAATTGAAGTGACAGCAGCAGGGTTGTCATGGTGACACTGGGGACATAGATTAAAGCTTATTGTGAGCGGGGAGAGGATGAGAGGGGGAGAGGAGGAGGAGAGGGGTGATGTCTCTTGCTGGCTGCCTGCTGTGTTCTTGGTTGGCCTCATTGACCATCATGCAGTGCTCTACACACTAGCAGATCTGTTGTATGATTTGCTGCAGCTGCATTCACATAATTGGACTATATAGCCTATATTTTTTTGCTGGTTTTATGAAGTAGAAGTAGCTACTGAATGTGTGCGAACATTCTAGAGAAGGACTGAACTATGTGAGACTACTTCCTGGGGAGGGAGGAATGGATGGAGGGAGAGGGAGAGAGAGGGTCTGAGTCTGTCAGGACAGGCCTACTGAACATTGTGTAGCCTAGCTTCACTTTACATTGATTTTAGCTGTTTTTTGGAGGCCAGATGATCACTATCCTGGCTAATCACCACTATTTATATTGACTTGGTTGAATTCCTCAGTGCTTTTGAATACCGAAAGGAGGACAGGCAGGAATGTAAGTTGAATTCCTCTCATCTCAAGGCCCTCTGGTATCAGGTGGGTTGAGCTAAGCTAAGTAGTGGTCCTGACTCCTAGATGATTGCAGGGCAGGGGCGGCTCTGTATTTGAGAGCTGTCCACTCAAGACCGTGTAAGAAGGAAGGATGCCCTCCTCTCTCTCCCCCTCCTTTAGTCATGAGAGGATTTTGCAGATGGTTTCATGCTCATTGGCGTCTAACAAGCAGGTGGTCTGAGATGAGGTGGGCGGAGAGGAGAGCAGTCTGGAGAGACTGGAGTCGTCTCCGACACTTTAGAGGTCCTCCTCAAAGGCTTGAGAGGGAGAGAGGAGGGGAGGGGAGGGGAGGATAGCCCCTCCACCATCAGCTTGCGTGTGAGAGGGGGCAGAAAGGAGGAGGAGAGTGGATAGCCTCTCCATTTCGCCCTGCGTGTGAGAGGAGCGAGAGAGAGAGACGGAGACATACAGGACAGACAGACCGACGGGGGTGGTGGACCCTGCCCATGCCCATGCCTGCCCTCGGGCCAACCTTAGACAAACACGTTGATTGCTTGGAAGAGCACATCTTTTCAATGTGTCACATCCATTTATTTCACGTTTCCAGTCATGTTGGGAAAGCAGCTCCCTCCTCATTCCCCAGCGTAACTGCTGTGATTGTATCGCTGTGTGAAGGAAAATACTATGTTTCCATGTAGCCACTATCTCTATGTAGCTACTGTCTCTGTGTAGCCACTATCTCTATGTAGCTACTGTCTCTGTGTACTGTAGCCACTGCCTTTATGTTCCCCCTCCACTAGTGTGTCCTCTCTTGCAGTTGTTTTCTAACCAACTCTTAACCATTTCTTTCCTGTCCTCTCTTCTCTCTACAGACCTACCTGGTTTAATGGGTCCAATCATCGGGATGTCGCCGGATAAGAAAGCGGAAACGCCGGGCATGCAGGAAGAGAGGGTGGGGCTTAGGGGCGTATGCGGGGGGGCGGGGACTCTCCCGGAGGCTGAGTGCGGTGCAGCCAGCCCATTGGCCACCTGTCTGGACCGGGGTTCCGGTGGCTCCGAGGATGAGGAGCTCACCAACCTCAACTGGCTCCATGAGAACCTGCTCCAGAACTTTACCCTAGGGGGGCCCGGGGGGGCCCAACCCAGCGCCAGCCCACTCTTTGACATCGAGGGTGACCCCGGAGCCCCTCAGAACCCATCTTCTTCATCCTCTTACTCCTCGTCGCAGAGGGACTCGTTGAAGTCCAAGCCTCCATTCTCATTCTCTCTGTTGATCTACATGGCCATAGAGCAGAGCCCCAGTAAGAGCCTGCCGGTGAAGGACATCTATGGTTGGATCCTACAGCACTTCCCCTACTTCTCCTCGGCCCCCACCGGCTGGAAGAACAGCGTCAGACACAACCTGTCACTCAACAAGTGCTTCCGCAAGGTGGAGAGGAGCCTGGGAAAGGTGAGGGAACTATGAGATGCATTCACACACACACACACACACTTTGTTTGTTTACCTTGCAAGGAGCTGGCAGTGGTTAGGTTGTGGGTTTGATATCCGCAAAGGTCACACAAACACATTATGTAAAAAATGCAAAGTTCTCATGCTGACACTGTAGGGTCAAATCAAATTTTGTTTGTCACATACACGTGTTTAGCAGATGTTATTGCGGGTGTAGCGAAATGCTTGTGCTTCTAGCTCCGACAGTGCAGTAATATCTAACAAGTAATATCTAACAATTTCACAACATATACCCAATACACACAAATCTAAGTAAGGAATGGAATTTAAGAATATATACATATATATATGGACAAGCAATGACAGAGCGGCATGGACTAAGATACAGTAGAATATTATAGAATACTGTATATACATATGAGATGAGTAATGCAAGATATGTAAACATTATTAAAGTGGCCAGTGATTTCAATAGGCAGCAGCAGCCTCTAATGTGCTAGTGATGGCTATTTAACAGTCTGATGGCCTTGAGATAGAAGCTGTTTTTCATTCTCTCGGTCCCAGCTTTGATGCACCTGTACTGACCTCGCCTTCTGGATGATAGCGGGGTGAACAGGCAGTGGCTCGGGTGGTTGATGTCCTTGATGATCTATTTGTCCTTCCTGTGACATCGGGTGCTGTAGGTGTCCTGGTGGGCGGGTAGTTTGACCCCGGTAATGCGTTCGGCAGACCACACCACCCTCTGGAGAGCCCTGCGGTTGCGGGCGGTGCAGTTGCCATACCAGGCGGTGATACAGCCCGACAGGATACTCTCAATTTTGCATCTGTAAAAGTTTGTGAGGGTTTTAGGTGCCAAGCCAAATTTCTTCAGCTTCCTGAGGTTGAAGAGGCTCTGTTGCACATTCTTCACCACACTGTCTACGTGGGTGGACCATATCAGTTTGTCAGTGATGTGTACGCCAAGGAACTTGAAGCTTTTCACCTTTTCCACTGCGGTCCCGTCGATGTGGATAGGGGGGGTGCACCCTCTGCTGTTTCCTGAAGTCCACGATCATCTCCTTTTGTTTTGTTGACATTGAGTGAGGTTATTTTCCTGGCACCACACTCCAAGAGCCCTCACCCCTCCTCCCTGTAAGCTGTCTCATCATTGTTGGTAATCAAGCCTACTACTGTTGTGTCTTCTGCAAACTTGATGATTGAGTTGGAGGCGTGCTTGGCCATGCAGTCATGGGTGAACAGGGAGTACAGGAGGGGGCTGAGCATGCACCCCTGTGGGGCCCCAGTGTTGAGGATCAGCGAAGTGGAGATGTTGTTTTCTACCTTCACCACCTGGGGGGTGGCCCGTCAGGAAGTCCAGGACCCATTTGCACAGGGCGGGGTTCAGACCCAGGGCCTCGAGCATAATCATGAGCTTGGAGGGTACTATGGTGTTGAATGCTGAGCTATAGTCAATGAAAAGCATTCTTACATAGGTATTCCTCTTGTCCAGATGGGATAGGGCAGTGTGATGGCGATAGCATCGTCTGTGGATCTGTTGGGGCGGTAAGCAAATTGAAGTGGGTCTAGGGTGACAGGTAAGGTAGAGGTGATATGATCCTTGACTAGTTTCTCAAAGCTCTTCATGATGACAGAGGTGAGTGCTACGGGGCGATAGTCATTTATTTCAGTTACCTTTGCTTTCTTGGGTACATGAACAATGGTGGCCAACTTGAAGCATGTGGGGACAGCAGACTGGGAGAGTGAGAGATAGAATATGTCCGTAAACACACCAGCCAGCTGGTCTGCGCATGCTCTGAGGACGCGGCTAGGTATGCCGTCTGGGCCGGCAGCCTTGCAGGGGTTAACGTGCTTAAATGTCTTACTCACGTTGGTGAGATTGAGACGATGACATCATTCAGTGGGTTTGAAGTGGTCTTCTAATGGGGTTCAAATTAGCTCAAAGTTTCCTGCCCCATTGAGATTATTGGCTGTGTTAAGGTGTCATGAAGAATCATTAGAGCTCTTCACTGACATTTTGTAGTGGCAGAGGCAGTAGTGACATTGACAATGTGTTCAAACTGTTTGACTGACAGTGTTAACTGTACACCTTCGACTGTGTGTGCATGTGCTTGTATAGTATTTGCAGCTGTCTGTGTGGCTCATGGACTGTGGCAGGGCCAGGGTTTTAAACCACCCTGAGGCCCCCTGACGTGTGTGTGCGTGTTTGTGTGTGTGTGTCAGGGCCAGTGTAGTGCAGCACCCTGCCTGCGGCCCCCTGTGTTCCTCCCCTCCCTGTGATAAGGCTGGGTGTATACCAGTCAAGGTCATAGACCCTCCTTCAGAGGAAATGCAAACACAGCACTAAGATAGGGCGCTATCTCCCAACACACCACACACACTGCAACTGTAGAGCCACGACCAGGCAGAGAGGACACACACACACACACACACACTGCAACTGTAGCGCCAGGCAGAGGACAAGCCCAGGGCTGAAGACCTGACCTACACAAACACAGAGAGAGGGAGAGAGACAAGTCTGTTAAAGAAAGGGTAGAGAAGGGAAACGAAAGGACAGAAAGTGAGGGAGAAGAGTAGAGCATATAGGAAAGAGACATTGTTTCTGTAGTTGTGTTGGACACTGGTTCAAGCTCAGCTCGCGGCAGACAAGTCAGTTGTTTCTGTAGTTGTGTTGGACACTGGTTCAAGCTCAGCTCGGGGCAGACAAGTCAGTTGTTTCTGTAGTTGTGTTGGACACTGGTTCAAGCTCAGCTCGCGGCAGACAAGTCAGTTGTTTCTGTAGTTGTGTTGGACACTGGTTCAAGCTCAGCTCGGGGCAGACAAGTCAGTTGTTTCTGTAGTTGTGTTGGACACTGGTTCAAGCTTAGCTCGGGGCAGACAAGTCAGTTGTTTCTGTAGTTGTGTTGGACACTGGTTCAAGCTCAGCTCGGGGCAGACAAGTCAGTTGTTTCTGTAGTTGTGTTGGACACTGGTTCAAGCTCAGCTCGGGGCAGACAGGGAATATAACTATACTGTTACAATCAGCTCAGTGGCTGGCTAGCAACTAGTTTGCTAGGAGGGGCTGATGACTAGCTATAAGTAGAAATTAGCTTAGCGGCAGCATTACTGTAGCACAGTGCATCACAATGCAGGTAGGCTCAGTGTGCTGGTTCTCAGTGTGAGCCCACCCGTCTGCTGAGCTGAGCTTAGAGAGCGCAGCAGAGAGAGAAGCACTGGTTTCAGATGACACACACTGCCTGGTGGTTTGTGTTGCCATGGTGACATTTCCTCCTTCCTGCCTACGAGCCGGCTGGTAATCTGAGTCAAGGTTATCCCTCCTCCTCTCTCCTTCCTCTCCTCCCTCGCTCCCTCCCCCCTCCTTCTCCTGGACAGAACACCAGCGATAGATAATGAGAGAACCGTTTACACACTTTATATCTCTCTCTCTCTCTCTCACACATACACACACACACACACACACACACACACACACACACACACACACGAAAAAATATGTTTTTCTTGTCAAAACATCATGGAGACGTGTGTTGTCTCAGTGGTAGGTCATGAATCTGCATATGGGATATGACAATGTCTTCACACGTCTTTGGCTTCAATAGTGAGAGGTTCTACAAAGGCAAGTCACATGGACAGGACTGTAAAAAGCTCAACGCAGTCCAACCCTGTAATAAGTCATTTAAGGATGGTGTGGATTGTTTATCGACTGTTTTCCTCCCATCATGCAGTTCACCCAGCAGGGTCTGGATTGGTAATCACATGCTCAGGTGACTACATTATGAGTCATTATGGCAGCTAGAGCAACTAAAGTCCTGGTGAGACTACAGTGAGACTTAGGGCTGGGCCATATATTGTATTTTAAGGTATAACGGTATGGATCAACATACCGGTATGGATTTTTACAATAACAATATTTTGATACAGTGCTAAACAAATGAAAAGTTCTACAAATTTGACTACTTTACTGTCAAGTTTGTCCTAGTTTGGTTGAGTATAAAACAATCCGAATGGAGAAAGCCTATTAAAACCACTTAGAATTAATTTGTTGATATCCTAGGGTCTAAAACATATTTAGAACTTGTATTATTCAGAAACATAAAATACCGCTTTACCGTCAAAAATGAGAATATCCTGATATATTATTTTGGCCATATCGCCCAGCCCTAGTCAGACTACAGGGAGACTACCATGAGAGTCAGCCATGCAGGCAAAAAAGTTATAGGTGTTTGCCGTCAAAAATCCTAGTCATGATGAGTACTTTACCAAAGCGTCTCTTGATACTACAGTGAGATGCTATATGAATTTATCCAATAAGAAATGCTCAGTTTTGAAACATTTTGCTACGGTGTGCCCCAATGACCGCCACTCAGGTCATTCTTGCTGTACTTTCTAATGTAGTATGTGATGTTTTTTTCAGGTGAATGGTAAGGGTTCTCTGTGGTGTGTGGACCCAGAGTACAGGCCTAACCTGATCCAGGCCTTGAAGAAGCAGCACTTCCCTGCAGCTCATACCTTCTGCACACCGCCCGCCTCCCCACCCAGTGCCTCCTCACCCCCCAGACACCTCTTTCTGCAGGGCTGCTCCTTCAAAGGTGAGTCCTATGTTTTTTGTTAATTTCGTGCAATTCTACGCATTTTCCCATGAGGTTAAAGAAAATGTTGCAGTTTTAAAGCAAGTTTGCTGCAATTCTAAACATTTGGCCATGGAGCGGAGAGAAGATTCTGCAATTGTATAACTAATTTCATGCAATTCAACTCATTTTGCAATTCTACTCAAATATGTTTTGGGGGGGGGGGATTTATTTCGAGGGGCTTAAAAAGGGGGGCCGCCGCCAGTTGCCCATCCCTGATCTAGAAATATGATTGAGATTAGATTTGATCCAGTTTCAGCATTCGCTGCATGTGATTTCAAGTTCACATGGTTGTTGCCATTTTCATCATGCAACATTGGCTGCAAGACCATCCACTCATCTTCAACTGTCATTTTAGTCATTATTTGATTTCTAACCATAGATGCCTCAATGTAGATTCTTCCAATCTGTATCCTCCACCTCTCTCTCTCCCTCTATCTATCTGTCTCTCTAACTCTCTCTCTCCCCTACCCTCTTGTTTGGTAACCTTGACTACAGAGGCCCTGGTGATGCTGATAGAGTGTAGAGCAGAGCACTCAGTCTCCACTCTAGTTGATTATAAATAATTTAGAGCCCCTGAAGTGTGGTATGAGGAAAGCTAGGAAACCTCTCTTCCTTTAGTCCCTCTACAGCCTCCTTGGCCAGCCAGCCGGCCACACACACACACACACATGCACACACACACACACACACACACACTCATGCTATTCCACTGACCACCATGCATGTTCTCTCCTCTTCCAGAGTCTGACATAGATGCTGCCACTGCCATGATGCTCTTAAACTCTGCCCCTGATCATCACCACGCCGACCCATGTAAGAGACTCCACCCCACACCATGCCTCTTCCACTTCTCTGCTTCTCTCTGTCTACACCTTTTCACTACTACTCTCCCCCCTTTCTCTCTCTCCCACTTTCTCTGTCTCTCTTGCACTTTGTCTCTCTCCCACTTTCTCTCTCTCTCTCTCCCACTTTCTCTCTCTCTCTCTCCCACTTTCTCTCTCTCTCTCTCCCACTTTCTCTCTCTCTCTCTCCCACTTTCTCTCTCTCTCTCCCACTTTCTCTCTGTCTACACCTTTACATTACTACTCTCCCCCTTTCTCTCTGTCTCTCGGTCATTCACCCATTTCACGCTTTCGTCTTTTATTGCTTTTGCATCACTCACCCAGCATCTATCCACCCCTTGTAAAACATCTCCCAGTGTCTCTCCATTGTTTACTATGTACACTCAACAGCACAGTTGAAGTCACACATATTCCCGTTCCAAGCCAGACAATGTTGCATATAGAAATATCTTCCTGTGAATAAGTGGTGTATTTCATTTCCCTTTTCCCCCATGCCTCTGCTGTTGTCATTAATTGTTATGAATCTTAATTGCTGTTATCTGCTGAACACACGGACACTCCCTAGCCTGCTGAACACACGGACACTCCCTAGCCTGCTGAACACACGGACACTCCCTAGCCTGCTGAACACACGGACACTCCCTAGCCTGCTGAACACACGGACACTCCCTAGCCTGCTGAACACACGGACACTCCCTAGCCTGCTGAACACACGGACACTCCCTAGCCTGCTGAACACACGGACACTCCCTAGCCTGCTGAACACACGGACACTCCCTAGCCTGCTGAACACACGGACACTCCCTAGCCTGCTGAACACACGGACACTCCCTAGCCTGCTGAACACACGGACACCACTCCCCTAGCCTGCTGAACCACTGACACTCCCTAGCCTGCTGAACACACGGACACTCCCTAGCCTGCTGAACACACGGACACTCCCTAGCCCACCGCCTATTTGATTAAAAACACTTTACTCTCTTTATCACATAAGCTACTCCTACTACCCTGTTGCATTCAGAAACACTGTTTCTTTAGTGTGAAGATGATTTCCTCCTCAATCTCTCTCCCTCTCCTTACTCCCCCTCTCCTCTCCTTACATCCTCATCTCTCTCTTCTTTCCCTCCCTCTCCCAGGTGATCCAGACAGTCCCCTGGACCTGTCCCGGCCAGACATGGTCCTGGTGAGCAGCGATCCTAAGCAGGACCACAACTACAGCAGCATGGCCCTGCAGCGCTGCTCCTCCCGCTCCTCCTCCTCCTCCTCCCTCTCCTCCCTGGACGAAGGAGGCCCAGGCCACGCCATGCCCCGCCCACGCCGTTCCGGCAGCGAGGGTTTCCATAGCGACGAGGACTCCGACCTCGGGGACCGGGACGAGAGGGGTGGCCACCCCCGGCCTGCTCCTCGCCGCCCCTCCCCCTCTTCCTCCTCGGTGAAGCGCCCGGCGGGTAAGAGGGCGCATAGGGAGGTGACAGCCAAGCCGGAGCTGGATGAGGAGCTGAAGGAGGCGGCCGGGTCTCTGCTTCACCTGGCTGGGATCCGTACCTCCATGGAGCTCAACAAACGCAGTGCCAAGAGCAAAAAACTGAACAGGAAATGAGGTCGTCGTACTACCTTGCTCTCACTGCCCTCGCCCTCAGACTCCCGCCCCTGTAACCCCTGATCTGATTGTGTGTCCTACTGATAGGTCCAGGTTGTGCCTCCTCCTCCTTTTCTGATTGCTGATTGGCTGATTTTGAGCCAGTTTTTTGGTTTGACACATGATGGGATGGGAAATCCCTCCCTATCCCAACACAACAAATGGCAATAGTATCATTCACACACAGGAGAATAAAGCCATATTGAGACTTTTGTAACTCGGGCATGTCAGGTGGGGGGGGGGGGGTTAAGTGGGGTGCTTGGGGACTACTGTGAAGAACCTGTTTCTGATGGCATCGCCGCAGATCCTCGCAATTCAAAGGATTTTCTTCTGGATAAAAGAAAGACAAGACGGGAAAAGGCTTAAAGTTTTTATAACTCAAAGCGTTGCATGCTTCCTCCTCAACCTGTGTCATCTTCCAAGTGAACCTATTTCTAAGAGAATGAGTGCATGTCTGTAACAAACAACTAACCTCTCCTCTCATGTTGTAGTCAGTTTCTCCCTTTTCCGTGCAAAAAAAAGAAGAAAAAAAAGATGCCACTGTTTTTTGATAGGTGACAACCTTGGACTGGAAATATCATACAAAGAGAGATGCAATAATTGATCCGTAACCTTAAACTGCTCTTTATATTATTTAATTTTTTCAATGTTGGTCTTTTTCCTGGGTTGATGACGACACTGGTGTCTAAAAACAATAAATTATAGGGAATGTATTGAAGTAGTGAGATGATCGATGGAACGGTCTGTTTAGAATCTGATCGGAACAATCTTATCACAGAGCAGAACACTGGACTGGTTCCATGTCAGGATTTAATAGCAGGGAGTGGAAACATATCAAAGGAAATGTTGGAACTCTGCTACTGCCATGTTAAGAAGGGGAATAAAACAAAGATGACCGACTGTGCTAGATTGGCACGGTCGGGAAGAGTCCACTCTCGTTTCCTACACTGAGGGGAAAACATAATTACATCGTCATGCCATTAGAACAAACTCCTCTTCATCACTTTTCTGCTGTGGCCTCTCTTATTCTGTCATACATTAGTTATTTGTGTATTTAGTGTGTAAACTGAGAAATAACACATTTGATACAGGCCCCTGTATTTTTTATTTCTTCTCTTGACTTATCCTACCCTGTCCTATCCTACCCTATCCTACATCCTATCCTATCCTATCCTATCCTATGCAAGGTGTAGTGTAGACTAATCTGGCTGAAATATAGCGAATGTTGTAACCATAGTGATCCCAAGATGATGCGCTTGCATGAGAGCACTCACTGGCAGATGTGCTGGTCAGTTTTCAATCATGTAATACTAGTCACACCTACTAACGTTTTAGTATTCAGGCCAAAGGGAAGTTAAGACAAGGATTTAGTTGTTATAATAACGTTGTAGTGAGGTTAGATTGACAATATTGTGAGAATCCAGCCTGCTATTGTACTACTGCCCCTCCTGAATGCTCTGTTGTGTTGGCTGACCCTGTTGCAAAGTTCAGACTGTGTTGACAGAACGTGGCTTTGCTTTGTCTTGCTCCACAATAAGAAAACAAAGGGGGAGGGTGGGCAAAATAAGGAAGCACACCACTCTCTTCGCTCCGCTGTACAGTAATGTGTTTACTGCCAGTTTATTGCATAGAGTTCAGTGACGGGAAGTACAGGATGTTGCAACAGAACTTGCGAAATGAAGAGGCCAGACTGGTTTTCTTTCGGGGCTTGCATGCATTAACTTGCATTAGTAAGCAAAACGCCAAAAGCCCACATCATGCCCATATGATAGAATCGCTTTTAGTTGGTTCACTGTATAACAGTATACTGCCCTCTGTCATGAGCCAACTTAAGTGCAAGTTAACTTTCCACCTGTTTTGTATAATGTTAAATTAAATCACTTTCATAAATATAGATTGCATGCAGTGCCAAACATTAATTTGTGCCATTGCGACCATGTTCCTCTTCTCACAGTTTTTGTGTGACTGACAGTAATATTGTTACCCTTGAAGCCTACTAACAGGAAATGTAGGAGGACTCTGACCTTGTGGACTGACTTTAGTCTGACATGCAGTTTATTTAGGTTGTTCTGGAATGGGAATCGCTTTGTTCTTAGAATGGGAATTTTGTTTTTAGAACTAAACCGCAGTTCTCCTAAATAAGATGGACATAGAATACACTGTCTGTGAATAAACAAAGAACAAATTAATGTTGCCCATTTAAATCATCAATTTATTTATTATAATTAATTTATAATGGACGATTGAATGGAACTTCTTTCAAATAATGGTCATTTGAAGCAAGAGGAAAGGTTACTTCCTCTCTCCCCTCTGGAAAATCCTTTTGATGACTTTTATTTTGTTTTATTATATTTTATCATATTTTACTGCCATAGACCAATACGTTCACTATGTGATATAGTGATAAAGATATCTGTGTCAGAGAAAGTATTTTGCCAATGTATTTTGTCTTTCGCGCAGGGCTTTTTCAATTTAACCATGACTGCCAAGTGTACCGATGTTTTGTTGTTGAACTGGATAGAAGATAATTGATGAACATATTGATCCTGAACACTTTTTTGCCAACAGTGGTGTTGTACAGAGAAAGCTGGCGTAGACATTTCAGATGAATGGATATTCCCTAACTATTGAGAACTTCTTCTCTGGAAAGTTGATTTAATCATCAAACTTCACAAATTATCTGAATTTGTATTGTTTATGTTTATATAATATTCTGACTGCCGTAAGTAGTCACACCATAGATATTAGTTGGCACTCCTTCTCCATGTTAGGATCCTGCCACCATAGAAGTCATCATCCCCACTTACTGCCACAAAAAAAAAAAAACATCTGAGGGTTGCCCTGGTGTTAAAGTCTTGGTACCCCCATGGACTTTACTTTAAACTTAGATAGATAGTTGCGGACAATTTACAGTAACTTGTTCATGCTGTAGCACTTGTAGCTAGAAGAAAGATCTTTTCAGACTCAAAGTTTAAGTGAATGTTTTTGAGATGGATCTTTAGGACTACCTGCATGACATGGGGCTCTAAGACTTGAATACACACCGTGGGGTACCCCAGGGGTCTAAATTGTTCACTTTACACAGTGATACATTATGGTAGACTCTAAGCTGCATACATAGGATTGCTTCATTGTTTGAAAACGTGTTATTGAATATTGATTATGCGATTTTTCAAAAATGCAGTTGCAATTTATTGATTCTGATAAAGCGTTTTGTGTTGAACTAACTAAAGCTGCCAACCCAGTATCAGTCAGTGTCAGTCGTCTGCCATGTCTGTTAGACACACCTTTTGGTTTTTGTATGCTAACCTCTGTTAATAAAATGTTTATAAAGTTTATTTTCGCCAAAGATATGCAATTGCATTATATATGGTATTACAAAATAAAAAAAATATTGTTTTATCATTTGTGTGTTTTCATGTGTTATTGTTTACTTTGATGAAATGGTCTATTATAAAGAAAATTCTGTCTAATCAAAGGATATATCAGGATAAATGGACTGTTTCATCAGTCTTAAAGAATAATTATATCCCCATCTAATTTCCACATTGCCACTGAGGCACTGATCACAAATCCAAAATGACATTGACATTGGTGCATTTGGGAAAAATCATTATGCATTCCATAACACACATTTGAACAACCAAAAATGCATCTCTTCCGGCTCCTTTTACACAGGCAGCCCAATTCTGATTTTTTTTTGACCAATTGGATCAGTTCTGAAAAATATCTAATGTGAAAAGATCTGTGATTGGTCAAAAGACCAATTAATGGAAAAAATATCAGAATTGGGCTGCCTGTGGAAACTCAGCCAAAGTCATTGGTTATGAAACCCGAAAGTCAAGAGATCATGTTTAGTAATAAATGGTGATCAACATCGCCACCTGCTGTTTAGAGGAGGCAATCACTAAAATGTCAAACGTAATGGAGGTCAGAAGTGATGTTGTATTGCAAATAATTGTAGGTCCCATTGTCCTGAATAAGTCTTTTTTTTTGTGTCATTCTCCTTTAAAATGTGCAACACATGTCAGTTTCTTACTTCAAAACAGAGCGCTAACGTGGTTAAATTGTGAAAATAATTCATTTCTAAACTAAGGAGTTAAGCCCTTTGTTGCGATGGTTCTAGTTCAAAAGAGCCTTACACATCATCAGACAGTGCACTGCACATGACTGGCAATTTAAGACAACAAAAAAACTGTTGCATGGACTTCTTTACAAATATAGAATACTGAAACATATCCTTAACCCATAAGAGTCGAAGCCCTGTCTAAGCGGGGGAGGGGGGATAGACTAAGTAAACATTACACTCACAAAAGTTTTTAAAGAATATAGACATTTCAAATGTTATTATTGGCTATATACAGTGTTGTAACAATGTGCAATTAGTTGAAGTATGAAAGGGAAAATAAATAAACAGATAAATATAGATTGTATTTACAATGTTTGTTCTTCACTGGTTGCCCTTTTCTCATGGCAACGGGCCACAAATCTTGCTGCTGTGACTGCACACTGCGGTATTTCGCATTACAGATATGGGAGTTTATCAATGTTTGATTTGTTTTTAATTTATTTGTGGGTCTGTGTGATATATGTGTCTCTAATGTGGTCATACATTTGGCAGGAGTTTAGAAAGTGCAGCTAAGTTTCCACCTCATTTTGTGGGCGGTGGGCACATACATTTACATTTACATTTACGTCATTTAGCAGACGCTCTTATCCAGAGCGACTTACAGTTAGTGAATACATTTTTTTTTTTTATTCTGGCCCCCCGTGGGAATCGAACCCACAACCCTGGCGTTGCAAACGCCATGCTCTATCAACTGAGCTACATCCCTGCCGGCCATTCCCTCCCCTACCCTGGACAACGCTGGGCCAATTGTGCGCCGCCCATGAGTCTCCCGGTCGCGGCCGGCTGCGACAGAGCCTGGATTCGAACCAGGATCTCTAGTGGCACAGTTAGCACTGCGATGCAGTGCCTTAGACCACTGCGCCACTCAGGAGTACACATAGCATGTCTTCTCTCGTGAGCCAGGTATGCCTACGGCGGCAGCCTCTCTCAATAGCAAGGCTATGCTCACAGAGTCTGTACATAGTCAAGGATTTTGTTAATTTTGGGTCAGTCACAGTGGTCAGGTATTCTGCCACTGTGTACTCTCTGTTTAGGGCCAGATAGTATTCCAATTTGCTATGTTTTTTGGTTTATTCTTTCCAGTGTGTCAAATAGTTATGTTTTTGCTTTCTCATAATTTGGTTGGGTCTAAATGTGTTTCTGT